TGTGGCAGCGCCAGTGTTACGCCTACTGAAAGTGGTCGTCATCGGTGATCTGAGTTCAAGACCAGTTAGCAAATATATTTTATATAGTTTTTCTTTTTATAGTTTTTCTTTTTATAATTTTTATTATACAAGAATTGGGACTCAATGGATTGCAATAAATGTAATAAGAAGATAATTAATTCTTTATATTTAAAGTGTTGCAGAGTGCAATGTCATAAAAGCTTTCATATTGAATGCATCAAAGTTAGTAAAGAAAAATTAGTTTTAATGAATCAGCAAGACAAAGATGTTTGGAAATGTTCAGACTGTTCGTGCAGGGGCACAAAAGGGGATCGGTATATAAGTGAGGAGATGCAGGATCATTTGTCACCAAAAAAGGCAAGTCCACGAATCTTTGAAGCTTTGATCCAAAAGTACCACAGTATTTTGCTGAAAGAGATGCAGGACTTTCGTCAGGAAATGAATAGCCGTTTTGAAGAACAAGGAAAGCAATATAAGGAACTCCAGGGAAGATTTAACAAATCTGAAAGAGAATTAGAAGAATTACGAAAAAGTATGAGGGTTATAAAGGAGAAGACCTTTGAAGTGGATGCACTACAGGTCCATGAATTGAAACAAAATGAAAATTACCTTAAGAACTGTTCTTTGGATAAGAGCCCGATAGCCGGAACACTATGTGAGATAGGTACTCCACCGGTGGTCTCGTTTGCGAATGCTGCAAAACAGAGTTCGAGCCAAATAAAAAACAACAACTTAAAGCAGAGTGCTGTTACGGGGAAAACAAATAGGGTAACGGAAGATGTAGCATGTAGAAATAAAGAACAAGAAATTGAAACCAATGTTGAAAGGGAAAACTGTGGCGATAAGACAAAGGAAAGAGTTGGGAAATATCAACGTGGAAAATACCCCAGCTGTGAGGTAAAAAAAGGAGGTAGAAGCGATGTAGTGGAGATTTGTGGAGCTGAGCGGAAAAAGTTTCTGCATGTGTGGCGGTTAAACAAAGAGACAAGTTTAGAATGTCTGGAGAACTATGTTAAGAACGTCATATATGCTAGGGAAGTGTCTATAAGAGTTGAACAAATTAATCATAAAAGGGAAAAGGATTACGCATCATTCATTATCGGGGTACCAGAATATGAGTATGAATTATTATGTAAACCGGATAATTGGCCTATTAATGTAGAATACTGTGATTGGGTGTGGTTTCGGAGATCACCAAATAACCCAAAACGATGGAAGTAGACCTATTAAGATATGTTACCAAAATGTGAGGGGTCTTCGGACCAAGATAAAGGAATTTTATATGAGTGTCTCATCAATCTCTGTAGATTTGTTTGCAGTTACGGAAACAGGATGTAATGATTCGATAGCTGACGCTGAGTTAGTCCCTCCCAGATATACGGTATTACGATGTGACCGTGTGGATGGGCGCAAGCATGGTGGCGTATGTCTCGTGGCTTCCCCACGCCTGGAACTGCGCCGCGTAATTTTGCCCTGTGATTTGCATATTGAATCTCGCCCGTTTGAAATAGTTTGTGCAACTGTCTATTTAAAAAGTAGATTCATGTTTATGTTATGTATTGTTTATACTCCTCCAAATACGAATGATGATGAATACTTTTTATTGCTCAAAACAATTGAAGAATTTTGTTCCAAGTATGATGATGTATTAGTTATCGGTGACTTTAATTTATATTCTTGTTCAAACAATGTAAATACTTATTTTTGGAATTACTTTAGTAACTATTGTGAATTCAGTCAGTGTAACAATATACAAAATGTTAATGGCCGTCTATTAGACTTGGTTCTGAGCAAAGGTAGGGGAATGCAAAGCGTTGGGGTGTGTGAGATGGATGAACCTTTAGTACCTGTAGACGATCACCATCCACCGCTTCTTGTGTGCGTGCGTCCGCGCGTTTGGGCGGTTTCTTCAAGGGATGATGCGGCAAAAACGGGTGAGCGCTTGTTACAGTGGAATTTTAAGAAAGCTGATTTTAATGCATTGTATTCTAAGGTTAGAGAAGTGGATTGGTCTGATGTATACTCGTCTGATTTAAATCTGAGTCTCAATTGCTTCTATTATAAGTTAAACTCTGTGTTTGAGGAATGCGTGCCAAAAAATTCCAGGAACCTAGGATACTCAAGGTATTTATATCCAAAATGGTACACAAAGGAGGTAATTAAAAAAATTAAACAAAAAGCCACGCTGCATAAGAGATACAAGGTCACTAAATCCCCAAGAGATTACAAAGAGTTTAGCTGTTGCAGAGCTGAAGTCAAGAAATTAATTGCATTGGCTCTTGAAAATTATACTAAGGCTGTTGAATCAAATGTGATTGAAGATCCCAAGTCATTCTGGAGATTTATTAATAGTAACAGAGTCAATAGAGAACCATCAGGTATTATTGAGAACGGAGAGGTACTACCGCCGGATAGGAGTGTTAAAGCATTTGCCGAGTATTTTAGCTCTGTTTATGTTACGCAAAAGCCAAAGCTCGACGTCAGCGCAGCTGTTGCCGGAGCGGGTTGTTCAAACGGGGCTGCAAGAGTCCACGTTGGGAGCTTACAGTTAAGCGATATACAGGAGGCACTTAAGCGACTTAAGCCAAAAAAGGCAGCAGGCCCGGACGGTATACCGCCTTATATCTTGAGAGATTGTGGCGTTGTACTTGCTGAACCACTGCTACACATATATAACCTGTGTCTGAAAGCAGCAACATTTCCCACATGTTGGAAAAGCAGTCGGGTAATTCCAGTTCCTAAAGTAGGATGCCGCGATAAAGTAGAACAGCATAGGCCGATAGCTATATTGTCAAGTCCGGCGAAGGTGTTGGAAACGGCACTTCAAAAGTGCATACTTAATCAAGTGAGTTCCCAACTCTCAGAAGCTCAACACGGGTTTCGGTCTACGAGGAGTACCACTAGCAACCTCTTAAATTATATGGCTAATATTAGCCCAGTAGTGGATAGTGGAAAGCAGGTGGACGCTGCCTATTTCGATATTAAAAAAGCGTTTGACTTGGTCGATAACGACGTGCTTTTGCAGAAGTTTGCACAGGTAGGATTCACTCCACACTTATTGAACTTCATGGCTAGCTTTATGGAAGATCGAACGCAATACGTGGAATACGCTGGGTGTAGGTCAGAAGCTTACTTTACGAGATCAGGCGTGACACAGGGCAGTAATTTGGGACCGATGGAATTTATGATAATGCTGAATGACCTACCAAAAGTTGTCAAGAATGCAAAGTGCTTGCTCTTCGCTGATGATATCAAACTTTACATGCCCATAGAAAGTACAGACGACTGTATGCGGCTGCAGGAAGACATTGATCGAGTGGTAAATTGGAGCAGGAGAAATAGATTAGAGTTTAATTTGGCGAAATGCAAAGTCATATCTTTCTCGAGAGCACGATTTCCCACTCGATACAATTATACTATTAGTGGTCTAGTGTTAGCTAGAGTATCGGAGGTTAAAGATCTAGGAATATATTTTAATGCCAATCTTGGGTTTGCGCAACACGTCGATAAGACTTGCAAAAAGGCATACAGAAATTTAGGGTTCATATTGCGAATAGCTTGTGGCTTCACAAATATCAATGCGATTAAAATCTTATACAATGCGTTAGTCAGAAGTCACTTGGAGTGCAATGCAATGGTGTGGGCCCCATATGAGGCTAAATACAGTCTCATGCTAGAGCGAATACAAAATAAATTCACCCGGTACCTCTACATGAGACTGTATGGAGTGTATCCTTTGTATCCACTTATGTACCCGACCCTGTTTGTTCTGGGTATGGTGGGATATGACCAGCTACGCCTCAGAAGAGAGCTAGCCTTGTCGGTGTATATATTTAAGATACTTACGGGTCGGGTTCATAATCCGGACATAATGGAGAGACTGAGTCTACGGGTACCAAGTAGAAACCTGAGGCGGAAGTCTCAACTTTTGGATGTACCGCGCGCACATTCCAACTTGGTTAGCGAAGCACCACTCACGCGAGCAATACACATAATAAATAAGATTTCTATTAAGGTAGACTTATTTGTTTGTACACTGGCTGAGTTCACAATAGTTGCTTCCTATATTATTAGTTATAAGATTTAGGCACATAAATATATTTCTGTTAATGTTTTGTATTTAGGTTAATTGGTGTGGGTAAAATATTCTTTTGTTCTATCGAATTAGTTATCACTGTAAAGGTAGAATAATTATATGGAAATACATAAATAAATAAATAAATAAATAAATCATTTCTAATAGGAAAGTAGGTGATCAATCTTCTATGCCTGACACACACAATCGCCTTTTTAAGAGCATGCCTTGGTCATGCATCCCTCACGATGTTTTCCTTCACCGCACGAGCGAGTGTTAAATGCGAACCTACGATGGGGGATGAGAGTGGCACGTTGAAAGTACTAGGCCAGCATTGTTTTTTTTAATAAGATACCTATACAAATAAAATAACTTGCTACCTAACTTCAGCTGTTACGGTGTGCGGGTGTCGGTTTTTTGTGACGGTGTGCGCGCGCATCGTAAAAATTTACTCATCATTTTTCCCTAACAAAAGAAGTATAACTTCAAAAATGCTTAGATGTTACGCTTTCATCTGATCGGATCTGGTCAGCGCCTTATTAAGTTCTCATGTTATTTTCACACATGTACATATCCTTTCTATACCATATTTTATGTGTTGTTTGGGAGCATAACCAATAATTACATACACCTCGCCATGACAGATAATGCAACTTGTCGATAAAACAGAGCAAGCGCCAACTAGCCTGTGTTACCGACGTTTGAACGTATATTCAGGGTGTCGGTTTTTTGTGACGGTGTGCGCGCGTATCGTATAAATTTACTCTCTTATTTTTTCCCTAACGCGCCAAAAGAAGTATAACTTCAAAAAATCTGGTCCAAAACGGTCCTGGTTACCAAGATTTACCAGCTCAATTGATACTGTTTCATTGTTAGTAGTTTTAAGAATATGTGGTCCACTTACCGAATTTTCACCATCTTCGTTACATTCATCTTCTTGATTGGCAAACATTTTCCTATGAACCTTCTTAAATTCGTCCATTAGAGCATTGTGGTGTTTCTTCTTGTCGTCATCGATCTTTGGAATATTCGCTTTCTTCGGGACGTTTGGTGGTTCTTTTTCCACCTCCGGTTTCTTCTAGAAATAAAATTACATTTAACAAAACAATTTAATTAACTAACTTGTCAAATTTCGGATTCATCATGTGGTCATCATCAAATCAATCAAAAGGTCGGTTAATCAAACTCTTTTTTTTGATGTGAAACATCAATAGCCGCACGTGAAACCGATTTCTGCCGTGGCGACGCGTCGCCACGCTATATGATACCACGGTATATACATATATACAGTTATAGACTGCAGAAGTGTGTACGGTGTGTGTATTTCGAAGTCACTGATTAAACGAATTAAGTAGTCACGATTGAAAATAAATTTGTAAATTTTTGTATTTAATCTGGAAAAAAATTGTAATATTTTATTTTATTATTATGACATATTTAGTTCCTATCACATTTTTTTTTTATAGAACAGGGGGCAAACGGGCAGGAGGCTCGTCTGATGGTAAGTGATACCGCCGCCCATGGACACCCTCAATGCCAGAGGGCTCGCGAGTGCGTTGCCGGCGTTTTAAGAATTATAATAAATAATAATTCGTGCAAAGCTAGATGAGCTTTTCTTTGTGAAGTGCTCCCGTTCTGGCGTTATCCACTAACAAACATTTAAACTTTTTACACAACTAAGGATTACATCAAAAGAAAGGGCTCGATTAACTCTAGTTCCATTGAAAAGTTCTTGTATTTAATAGATTAGTATTACGATAGTTTTTAAGCTTTACATTCTGGGAGATCATGGCGCAAACAATAGTAATAAAACCAAAAATAGCTTACCAATTTCCTCCTCTGGATCTCCTCAACAATGGCACTGGACAATGTGGCTGAACTGGATATGCTCGTGGTGTCCGATATCATGTCGATTTTAGGCGGCACCGGATAGTTACAATGAGATTTGGCACTTGGAGCTTGGACATTATGAACTTCCACTACTATTGTCTTTTTATCATTGTCTCTGTTCGGTTGATATGCGGTTTTATTTGAAGAGTTATCGTAGCTACAATGGAGAACTGTTGTTCCTCCATTTTCAGTCAAATTTATTATTGTTCTATTTAATTGCGTTGCTTTAGTTGGTTCAAATTCTGTTTTTATTTTATTAGTTTTATTTTCATATGTGTGAGGGTTATTTGGTATGCTGGGACAGTCGTAGTCGGGTTCTATATCCGATGGTGCATCAAAATTGTGGATATCACCGTTTTTCCAATCGAATTCCAGACTATCCCACGTTCTCCTTTTTATTCTGTTGGATGTAAGTCTGAAAATATTATACCCCTATAACCAAGCGTGCAAACGGAACCCAGAAGTCGTGTGTTCGAAGCCCGGCTTTGCACTATGTCTGTGCGTAATTTACATTGTGATAAAACCAGCAGTAAACGCAGAAATCAACGTATCAGAAGGCTGTTCACCAACTAAATGATTAATGAAACGGAAGTAGAAATCTAAAGGTAAGGCCCGTAAAGGGTTTTGATGAATGTCTATACAAAATAGCGACAGTAAGTTACACAGTTCTCTTCTGTTGATAAATAAAATAAAGTTACAATCTTTTTAGTTCTGGCCCTCAGATTTTTATATCTGTTTCATGATCATTCGTCAATCTAATAGGCAATTAAGTGATCCTGTGCCTGACATACGCCGTCGACTTTTCGCGTCTAAAGCAAGCCGGTTTCCTCACGATGTTTTCCTTCACCGTTCGAGCGAATGTTAAATGAGCATTTATTGATAAGCCCGTGGCATATTTTAACATGTATCTTGATTTTTACAGTGTTATTTATAGACAAGCTGTGATGTAAATCGATTCCATAGATAAATAATGACAGGGCGTAGCTGATCACCCTACTGTACCAATCCAACGAAATCACTTTTAAAGACTTCCAGATTGTGGAGTTTTGACCAAATTTTTTTTATAGAATACGCGGCAAACTACGGGACGCCTAAAGGGCAGTCATCGCAGCCTGTAGACACCCATTTAGTGGGTGCGTTACCGGCCTTTGAGGAAGGAGTATACTCTTTCTTTAAACAGATTATTTACAGAACATAATGCCAAAATTATGTGAAGAAACAAACCTGTCCGCTCTCTCAGCTGCCTCTTCTGCGACACTGGCTAGGCGTCTTCGCAAAACCGCTGGAGCTGCTAAAGGCACAACTGGAGGTGCTGATGCCGGACTCCTTTCTCCAGCAGCTGAAGACGCGGAACTGTTGTAACCAGAGCTCTCTGGTGACACAAGTTCCCGTCCTACACCTTCACGAACAACCAATTCCAAACGTCCGCTCACTTTCATAGCAGATACAGCCTGTGAAAACGGGTTTTAACCATAGTTGTCATTTCTCTTTTTCTCATAGCGTAAATACAATTTGACAGAAAGGGACAAAGAATACTTCAGTTAAAATAGAGTAATAAGACTTATTTAGTTTATTTTAATAAGGGAGGCAATAAAGTTTCAAACTGGTGCCCGAAGTGCAATAAAGGTAAAAGAAAAAAATTAAGATTTAAGAAGGTGGATAGACCAGATTAAGGCAGCAGTTGGTACATGGTAGATAGTGGTACGGACAGGAATGGCGATGAGATAAAAATATAAATGTGTTTGTGTTTTGTATCTTAAATAAAAGGCTTTTATTATTTATTTATTATTAAAGGCGCAAAATTTTTACGAAGATTATATGAGCTAAATCCAAGTCTAATATATTTTATAGCATTTTTTAATGTCTTTATTTTTTATGGTATTAAAGTATTATTTAAAAATTTGATAAGCGTGATTTCTTTTGTAATCCATTCTTTCTTTATGTTCTAATACTCCTTTAATGGCAAATTAAAACAAAATGCTTGCATATTCTTTTGTAACTTCTATTATCACAAATCAATAATTATTTAGTTTAGCGGTTTCTTTTGAAATATATATTATATTTATAAAGAGTAACTTTAACCAAATTAATTTTTTTTAGTTATATAGTTTATTATTACCACTATCTTTAAGCTAAACGATTGGTTGTCAATAAAAACTTGACCAAATCGGCAATTACTTTTGTTTTCGTCAACGTTTATGCCTATAAGACAATTTCAGTTAAAAACATTAAAATATGTATACTAATGACCAACATTTCTGTAGCATATTAGCAGCACGAATAGAGCATATACTAATTGTATTCACATAGTAATAATAAAAAAACTTTAAAAATTAATAAAAAAAAAATTAAAACAAATTGAAAAAGTTTGGTCTCTGTGGCAGTATAACCTTTAACGCTGGCAACATTTCCTCGCTGTATTGCAGTTATTCGTTGAGTGAGGAAAGCACCAGCTTTTGGGGTCACCGGTACTATCTACCATGCGCCAACTTAACTCTTTAATTAGGTTAAGAAAATTGTAATCACTGTATATTTGATTGTTATGTTTAGGTTTTAATAAAAGATTTTATTCACATGAACTATAAAATCTAGGATTTTTTTTAATGAACCTTATGATTAAGCATCGCCGCTCATGGTTAGAAAAAGACTTTTCTTTTATATACCTCATTAAATGATATATTGGAGAAATCCAAGCCATTGCAGGACAATACTTGATCTCCGGGCCTCAAACCAGCTTCCTTCGCGATCCCACCATCGCGAACAAACTGGACATATATCCCCGGCTTCCATTCGGGTCCTTTGCAAATCCTGGATAAACAACAAATATTAATAAATTAATCAAATAGTAGGAGTAAAGAATATGTGTTTGATTGTGTACGCAAGTGCGTACACGTGCACGTACGATGAATGACTTAGCGTGTCTAACCTAAAAGTCGACGATTTGTGCTTAAGCACAGCATATTCTTATATTTTGTTGTCCATTATTAATTATTATATAATGTGTGGTTATTGAGAGATATTCTGAATCAGATAAATCACGACTTCTTGCAGTTCCTACATTATTCCCCTTTCGTCTTTAGGGGCTCTTCAAGTTTTCGTCAGCAGATTTACTGCAATTTATAACCCTTCCTATTATAACCTTTCATAAAGGGGGGCCCTTCTTGTCAGCAAAAGTAAGCAAAGCTCTCAAAAATTGTAGTGCATTTCGTTTTCAAGCATAGACAATGCTTGAGTAATATGTGAAAAAAGTAAATAATTACTGTTGACGTAATCACCAAATAAGAAAAACAAAGACCCCCCTTTAGTGCTTACGTAAATCTTGAACGGCCCCTTATCTAAATACATAATGGCTTCACCTTGAATATTGCCCTAGCGACTTCAATTCTGTTTATCCCTGAGGTCGAAAAACTTTAATTCTTTGTGCGCATTTACACTCATGATCATTTTTCAATCTAATAGGCAAGTACGTGATCAGCCTCCTGTGCCTGACACAAGCCGACGACTTTTAGGTCTATGACATGTCGGTTTCCTCACGATGTTTTCCTTCACCGTTCGAGCTAATGTTAAATGCGCACATAGAAAGAAAGTCCATTGGTGCACAGCCGGGGATCGAACCTACGACCTCATGAGAGTGGCACGATGTGGCTACTAGGCCAACACTGCTCATAATAAGATCGATCTAAGTATCTTTATATAGCACAGTGCCAGGTTATCTATGAAATATAAATATCGGAACTAACCCACAACCCAATTTAGCTCTGGGAGGCACGAGAATTGAGAGTCGCAAATCGGTTATATGATCTGTGTGACAAAGAGTAGGCGACGAAGACACCTCCGACGCGAGAGACGCTCGCTCTGATACAAACTGCCAGGATAAAGTCTCGTAGTCTTTCCTGAAATAGAAAACGAATCAAATTAAAGTACACTCAATGAATAAATAAAAATATTTTGTCTCAAGTAAATAAATAATCTAGTGTAGATACTAAATGGGTTTTAGCCGCAGATTATACACAAGGAGGATCATATACAAAGAGGTGATTAGTTTCATGTCACATGTCATTATAAATCTATCACAAAATTATATGTAGACAGAAAGGAAAGAAAGCTATAGGTACTTAGAAGGTTATAAGACAAAAATAAATTGGATGTCTTATATCTAATATACATGTAAAAAATAATGTAAACACATTACATGAAAATAAAAGTACATTTCATTTTAGGCTTATCAACACTTTATCCAATTAATTGAAGTTGTACTAGATTCAAATCTTATTATCTGATTTATTTGTATACGTTTTCTTTATAAATAAAGTGACTGAAAACTTGGCAAAATAAATTTTAAGGTAAAAACGCGACGCAAAAAAAAATTGTTTAACTAGTATTAATATAGCCACTAAAATACTAACCCATTTAAGAAATTATGTATAAATGGACAGAAATATTATAATTATAAATAACACGACAGCGCGTTTCGCTTCAGTGTAATTGGTCTAGCATTGTCCAATCACAGACACGCGCCACGATCTGTCATTCTGCTTCACCAATTACAATTAAACTAAACAAACCATCGTTTTCGTTTAACGTTCATGTCAGCCATGTTATATTTATTTATATACACTTACATTACATTTATAGAAAAAAATAAAATATAATACATAAAAATTATAAGGGATCCAACGGGCGGCCTTATCGCTGACAAACGATCTCTTCCAGGCAATCCTAGTAAGAAAATAACTAAAAAATAAATATTATGGTTAAAGTGCAAGAAGTGCAATACTAAAACAAAAAAAAATATAGAACCTAGATCTAAAATAATACAAAAAAAATTAAGAAAATAAACTAAAAAGCTAATCTTACGGATTCATGAATTGCGATGCAATACAGAAAAATAAGAAATACAAGAATTATAAAAATCACGATTGAGCAGAATAGGATATGGTTAAGAAATTTTTTATGCAGAAGAGTTTTAGAAGATGTTAGGGATCAATCTTAATGGAGAAGATCCTAAACGAATTGCCTAAGGATTAGTTTATTGCCAGTTCTTCTCTTCCGTTCTACGCCCTTGATTTGAGAACTGGCAGTAAATGTAAAATTAGAAGCATTTCATATGTATTTATTTTTTGACGTTCATAAGTGTACATTTTGTTACCTATAAATGATTTTTTAAATTTTTAATTCGAATTTTGATTATTTAGTAAAAATACAATATACTTACTCTTTAATCGGCAACATTCCCACATCTGAAACATAAAATTAATAATTACTATTCTATAATTAACCGTGGTAAAAAGCTCGAAAGTATTTTGAATCGAAAGAATAATATCGCTCATTAAATAGGTGAAAGCTACGAATATTTAATTTCTGTGACTACTTATCATATGGCAGATATTTCTAAACAATAATTGTGTTGGTAGAGATTGTCATTTATTTGACGCAGATTCCGAATTGTTTCTGTACGTTACGACTAAATCTATACTAATATTATAAAGAGGTAACATTAATTGTGTTTTTGTATGTATGTTTGTAATGTTTTGACACAAAAAGTACTGGTCCGATTTCAAAAATTCTTTCACTATTAGATAGCTGCATCTTTACTGACTGGCAAAGGTTATATTACATTTTCACAACAAGTAGGGATTCCTAATAAGAATGCTATAATATAACCCAAGGTGTGACAAAGTTATCCATAAAAAAACTGTCATCGCGTGCGCTGTGGAAACCATTGATGATAGAACAAAAAAATGTTGTACAGTATTAAAGAACGTATCAATATCTGCAAGAAGAATGTTTTACCTATGGGCAATTGTATGTTGGCCTATCCCGAGTCGGAAAAATGTATACGATACGTCAAATGTTGTGTATAAGGAAGTTCTAATACACTAAAGTTCTATAAATAAATCTGTGTTTTAATATTATAGATGAAAGTTTTTGAATTTTGTTTTTATTTTTAAAATTTTATAATTAAAACCAAAAATAAATCAGTGGCGCTACAACCTCTTTAGGTACTGGCCTCAGATTTCTGAATCTGTTTCATGATCATTTTTAAATCTAATAGGCAAGTAGGTGATCAGCCTCCAGTGCCTGACACACAGCGTCGACTTTTTGGGTCTAAGACATGTCGGTTTCCTCACGATGTTTTCCTTCACCGTATGAGCGAGTGTTAAATGCGCAAATAGAAATAAAGCCCATTGGTGCACAGCCGGGGATCGAACCTACGACCTCAGTATGAGAGTCGCACGCTGAAGCAACTAGGCCAACACTGCTCTTCCATAAACATTTAACATTACAAACATTTTATAATAATCAAGCCAAAAATTCCTGGATGGATGGACACAGGTGGACCAAAAAGTATATTTAAAATTATTGTATGGCTTTACATATTATTACAAGAGAGCATGATGATGCGTATAAAATAACCGGTACATTTCATATCACGAATGATGAACGAGCCAGTTGACAGATAACGGCACGCGAATATTATGTAACTAGCTGTGCTCTGTGGTTCCCTGCATTAATTCGGTCGTTAAAGAAGTTCTAACGCCTAAAGCTTTTCTCGGTAAATAGGCATTTTTTTTTATTTGTTAGACATAGTAACGCGGACTTTTGTGTAGATATTGATGTCTTTAATAAAACTGTAATACATCACTTTGCTCTATTGTCAATAGTTTCCGCTCATACGCGATTTAGGAACTTTTCGTTTCACACCTACAGTCGACACTACGGTGATTTCACACAAAATATTATATGTTATATATAATATGTTCATCCATTCCTTTCAGAGCCTTACAATGCAAACAAACAATCAAATATTTCCTCTTTATAATATTAGTATAGATAACTAAGAACTGTGGTTATTACGCGCTGTGCTTTTAAAGTTATGCGCGTTAACGTTTATTCAACGTATAGAAAAGCTTTGATGTACGAAGAATGTCGTTTTGTGTCGACACTCCTGAACACTTCTTAAATACAATATCTAACTAAACAATTCTCGAATGAACACACATTTCATAAAATACTTTTATAATACGCTATTTGCAACGGTTTAATTGACTGTCCAGACTTATTGTCGCTTTTACTATTTCACACCCCTTCTTAATACAATACAAGGCAAACCCAACTATTTCAAATTCCTCGGTCTAATACAAACTATTTACGTAACTCATTCATGTACCTTATACCTTCAGATTATAACACAAATTACCAGCAAATACATATATTTAATATAAAAAAACTGTGGTATAATTTATTAAACATAATGGCTTTGTTTATTCGACTTTTATAATCATTGTTAACTGCGTTGTATGTTTATGTTTGAATGTGTATTCCGTTTTTGGATTATGTGTGTAACGTAATTGAGATATTGTATAATAAGTTGCTGTAGGAATACTGAGCAAATAAATACATAATTATTTATTTATAAATCGACACGAATTAACAAAGCATTCAAGTAAGAAATTAATTAGGAAAAACGAAATATCATAATACAAAAAAATTCTATACACATACTATAATAACAAATATTAGAACTTTAGTTCACTCAACGGACAAAAGTTCCGTTCCTATGCAATGTTATATAAAGATTACTTAAAGCCACGCCTTTCATAACTCCACGACATAGTAACAGTCACTTACGTCTAACTTTGATCTTGAGCCTGGATTGAGACGTGATGTAATGGACCAGCTCGGCGTGCACTGCGTCGTCCACGCGATACCCATTAACGCTCACCACCTGATCACCGACCTGAAATTACATAAAACGAATTATAAGCTAAAAATTGTGCTTTTACTTTTTACTAATAACATCGCTTCTTACAACATGCGCTAGAACATGAGGCAAAGAGCGTTGCTGGCCTTTTTGTGAATTGGTACGCTCTTTTCTTGAAGGACCCTGAATCGAATTGGTTCGGAAATACTTCAGTGGGCAGCTGGTTCCACATAGGGGTGGTGCGCGGCAAAATATGCCTTATGGCCCTATCCCAGCTAGAATTGCTGTGTCAGTGTCTCGGGGTGGACTGCGGGGCGCAGTGAAGAGCTGGAGCACTGAGGCGCGCCGGCCCGTTATAACAATTAGTTATGTAAAACATTAAATTTATGTAATTTTATAATTTTTTTTCTGATTACTTGACTTGCGATAAAATATATCGTGTAAATTTCAAAACCATGTTCTATATACATTTTCGTCATAAAATGAATTCAAAGTGTCAAAAATTGGCTACGTTTGGATTTTTTTCTATCAAGCGAAGTTATTTAAATCATGTATCGATCTTTCAAAATGGATACATAAACTACTCAACTCCACCATACATTTTTTTCATTCGCCCTACTTCAAGAAACGATGACGAAAAATGGAAAGAAACAATGTACTTTTTTGGAGTTTGCGACCAGATAGACGTCCTTCAGAAACGCTCAGAAAGAGCTCTTGCTCTTGACCGTATGTATTTCTCTATATTTTTTTAAATAGGTAACTAGGTCCTTGTTAATGTAAAAATACGACGTAACATTAATATGCTTTTTTCGTATGGTGTGAGACTAGGATGCGAAAAGAAAGATGTGTGGGCCTGTTACAAAGAAATCACTAAAGCTACAATACACATTGTTAGTAACAGAAACATATGAACAATGAACCGCCTTGAGTAATATTCGGTAATTGAAAGTAATAAAACGCATACTGTGCCCATCAAAGCAATAAGTGACGTCACATACTGCCAATGACGAAAGCACTTTCTTTACCTTGGAGAAGCCGGACGGATCATTCATGGCCCAGATATCGGACAACTTTCGTTCAGACTTTCGTACCGGCGTTTTTAGGGTTCTCTTTACATGTGTTGTGGTATTTCCTGTTTGTAGAAGAATTTCTCCAATACTGGGATGCAGGGAAATTATGAACACTACGGAAATTAATACCTTGTCGGATTTTTAAACATTTAATTCAATTTATATTAGCTATCATAGATTAACATCGTTTAGTTACACAAAATTTAAAAAAAGAATATTGAATCTATTGATTGCTATAAACAAAACCATAGAGTTTGTCAACGGTCTAGTCGATTCTATGGCTGTCAAATTTGTTTACACACTGCCGCTCTTTTTGGTGTGAAATAAAAGTAAAATTGCGTAACAATGTCAATTCATAAGTTTGCAATAATTAAAAATATTGTACCTGTTTCTAAACACTATTGTCTTACATTTCATGTATTTATCAGTGCGTAAAGAGTTTATTTTTAGAAGTTTTATTTATGACTGTTTATTTTTATATTTTAATTATACGTTATTTTTATTTTAAAATGAGGACAATCAGATAGTTATATGTTATGAAATACATGTGTGAAAATAACATGAGAACTTAAGGCGCTAGACCTGCATCCATGCAACTTCCTCACAATCGAAAAGCCGCGATATTGTAGCACATTCACGAGAGGACTCTTTGTATTGAAGTCGCATGGGTCCGACAAGCATACGCGAGTAAACACTGTAAATACATAATTATGTAGGAATAAACGAAAAGAATAGTAAATAATTATCACAGCAAGGTTTTTAAAACGACTAGGCGAAAAGGAAAGAGCAAGAAAATGTCTACCGAGAAATTTTTCATATCAGTTTCATTGTAAATCCGACAATCTGTTAACAGTATCATAACGCTGAGCACAAACGTAAGACAGGCGTGTAACAGGGATCTTTGGTATGATGGTTACAAATGCAACGCCAGACAACATGGCGCGGCGCGTTTCATATTGAATAAGATTGATTATATACGTATCATATTATTTTTGTATAATACTCGTAGGTATATTATATACATGTGTAAATATTAGTGGCCACAATGTACCTTTAAATATATAATAAAAATTAAAATAGCCTGTATTTTGTACACACATATATATGTAAGGAAAACAATATATTTTCCTATACAAACTCTTGTTATATTTTATTTTTCTTCTTTGCCGTCTGACCGACGATGTTTAATGTGTCATAATAGATGTAAGATGTTTTAATTTTTTTCATTATATTATTTTATTTTATAAAACCTAGAACATAGGCTTTAAATGTTGTTTCTTTTATATTCACAGGTGAGTGAATAATTTGTAAATATATATTTTTTTATTAAATGTAAATTAATAGATATTTCTTTTGTAAATAAATCTTTTATATTCACAGAGAAACGCAGTTGCGCCTTATTTATTCCCAGTACTCGTATAAGCGATTGATACCATTATATATATATTACTATTCCTATATTAATAGGTGAGTAGGGCCCCGTCGTCTCGCCTCCGCTAAGCTCTTGATGCAGTGGGTGACGCACTATCTTACTGCAGAAAAGGCCGGCAACGCACTCGCGAGTCCTCTGGCATTGAGTGTACATGGGCGGCGGTATCACTTAACATCATTGTATGTTCCTTTAAAGCAGGAAAGTTGTATTTAATAAAGTATAGTTATTATAGTATATGTAGAAACGTTAAAATTACATTATAATAATTAAAATCCGTTGCGTGTGTAGACATTGTAAAAGTGTTTCCTACCAATTGCAATAATTATATTTATTGCAATTTAACAGTTATGTTATGTAAATAGAAAATGGCAGAAAAGATTTAGCAATAGAGACGTTATCAAGCGTGTACATTACGTCCACAAGATTATTTTGTTAAGAATTATAATTTTTAATTGTGGCTTTGTAACAGGGGGCAAACGGGATGATGACCGTCACCCATGGACACTGGACACATTGCCAAAAGGCTCACAAGCCTTTTAAGAATTGGTACGCTCTTTTGAGGACACAAGTCTATTCTATTCGTTTGGAAATACTTCAGCAGCAGCTGGTTCCAGATAGCACCACTATGCGCGCCAAAATCTGCCTTAAGAAACGCTCAGTTGTGCAACGACGACGTCGATGGAATGCCACATGCCTAAGTAGCATAGACTATACTACATTCAAAAATCCGACATTTTATACTCTGTACTATGGGTGAAAATAAACTTGACGTTGAAGTATAAAATACTAATACTTGTCACGATGCGTCTGCCGTTTCCAAACAGGTTTTATTTAACTTAAAGCGTCAACATCTGTTTTATCTTATTTGCCAAGTTTTATCCCTTTTTTAAAGACGCAATGGGATAATTTTAATACGCATGACAATATTTAAAATGGTTCCATATGCCCCGTACACGAATTTTCTACGTAAATTGCCAATGTTTCGGGTTTCAGCTATGTTATATGTTTATTATGGAACATACAGGATAAGATACAGGTATCACTTATTCCACGTTATTAAATTTGCATCCCTACTCATCGGCAAAGAAGACAGAGGGTGTAGGCCGAGAGAAAAAGCCGGCGTAAAAAACTCTCGGTACTCTTTTAAAATATCAAATCATCATACAAAATGACTGAATGTTGCCATTGTACAACATAGATAGAAGAAACCTGAAGGAGGGAGATACGATCCGTTCTTTAAACAAATTAGAATAACTTAACTTATAATACTGTTACCCATAGACTAAATGTACTGTTTTTTATAGGCGAACGTAGTAGCCTATCAGGCACCGATCAGACCGAGAAGCAGTGGACCAAACCTCCCTAAAAAGGGACTTTATTTGCTTAAAAGCCTTGGCGTCTCCCGCCGCGCCGGGCCGGGATACTACTCCGGAAATATTCTCATGATATTAAAGGACGAGTTAGAGCCCGCTGGCCGGCTGGATCCGCGTATCTTTCGGTCTTCTTGTTTTTAAAAGTACTGTTAGCAATAAGAAATTAAAGCTTATTTATCAGCCAGTATCATATTGATTACATTTAAATAAATATTGACTGTGAATTTGTTAAGGCTGCAAATATCTGTAAAGTGATCTGGGATGATGTAAGCACATTTCTATTAATACAAAGAATTCAAAGAAACTCAATCTAGAAAGTCTTCGATAAATGATTGTGTAAATAATTTACGGCCCAAGACTATTTGCAAATGTTATCAAGTCTTGAAATTGCTGCGATATATAGATATTATTGTATGTACATTGTACTGTATTAAAATAATATTTTTGGTGGTTCGTTGTGTATAGGGCGTACCATAACGGTGTTTTTTAATCAGTACGGAGGGAGGACTGCCAGCTTAGTACTATTTGTAATTATAAATAAACAATAAAGATTTTCATTCATTAACAAAAAATTTAAACGAGAAAATTAAATGAATCATGTTTTTCGAAAAACAAATGCATGAGTTAATAGCTGTTAAAATTGAATTTGGAATTCCTAACCATATATTTGAGGTCAAAGTGGTCAGTACGACAAAGTGCCAATTTCATATGTAACCTAATATTATGTATTCCATCTTTGGCTATTTTTAGTATAATTGTTTTTTTGTTGTATGTAATTAATGTTAGCTGTAGGAATACGAAAAAAAAAAAAAATCAAATCAGTGGCGCAACAACCTCTTTAGGTATTGGCCTCAGATTTCTGAATATGTTTCATGATCATTTTTAAATCTAATAGGCAAGTAAGGGATTAGCCTCCAGTGCCTGACACACGCCGTCGACTTTTTGGGTCTAAGACATGTCGGTTTCCTCACGATGTTTACCTTCACCGTTCGAGCAAATGTTAAATGCGCACATAGAAAGTCTATCGGTGCACAGCCGGGGATCGAACCTACGACCTCAGGTATGAGAGTCGCACGCTGAAGCCACTAGGCCAACACTGCTCAATAAATAAATAAAACGATTTTAAAAATCGACTGAAGACTTACTAGGAAAAAAAAATTATATTAATATAATAACGTAATATATAATATATTTTAATTTTATGTAACTTATATGTAGTATTCTAACTTTTAAGTCAAATTTGCACGCCCTCATCTGTGGCAGAACATGCGAAGTTTAGATTGTACCACCATACTTTATCCACCATATGTTTTTTTAGTTTTTCACTTACTAGGGTTGCCTGGAAGAGGACGCTTATTAGCGATAAGGTTGCCCGTTGCATCCTTATAATTTTTATGTATTATGTTATTTCTTTTGTATTTAAATGTAACGAAGTGTGAATAAATAAAATAATATTTTTGTACAATATTCTTGCAAATAAATTATTATTATTATTCAGTCTTAAAGTTTCATTCATCAGTACGTATTTGAAACATTTGAACATTGAAAGGCAACCAGAGCGATAACTATGCCGCAACAATTGAATTTAGTGGCAATGAAATTCTTGGTTACGTCGGCTTGCTCAATTCAAAGTTTTGTCACATTGTATTAAAAGTTCTATGTTTTTGTAGGCCGTACGAACAATCATTTCATTATACCATTGTTGGTTGCCATTAGTTTTACTATGGGATAATATAACATTTTTGGCGCGAAAACAATGGTTTTGTGATTATGTCTGACATATTTACCTGATCTCCTCGACATTAAATGGTTTGAGTGTACAATCGTAACCTATACAAAAAATTTCAGTGGCGCTACAACCTCTTTAAGTCTGGGCCTCAGATTTCTGAATCTGTTTCATGATCGTTTGCTAATCTAATAGGCAAGTAGGTGATCAGCCTCCTGTACCTGACACAAGCGACTTTTTGGGTCTAAGACATGTCGGTTCCCTCACGATGTTTTTCCTTCACCGTTCGAGCGAATGTTAAATACGCACATAGAAAGAAAGTCCATTGGTGCACAGCCGGGGATCGAACCTACGACCTCAGAGGTGTGAGTCGCACATTCGTACCTATATGATATATAATATTAAGTGCCAGATTAAAAAGATATAAATTAGTGTAACCGTAAATCAAATG